TTATTAGATAATAAATTATTTTAAAAAATTGAAAAATTGAAAAATTAATATATATTAATAATTATTAATTTTAAAAACTTAAAAATACTATTATTAGATAGATCTTAATATAACAAACTTCATTTCATCTTTTTATAATCACAATATATTAAAATATTATAATTTTTCTACAATATTTTATAACCAGTTTATACCTATGCTTTAAGGGATAAAAAAATTTATAAAATCTATAATAATATTTATAAAACCTTAAATAATTATATTGACTATCTAATGATGAAATATAAAGACAAATTTGAATGCTATATTACACGAATACACAAATTAATCTTAATTTACATTTTTTTTTTTAAAATTTTTTTTAAAAAAATATATATATATATTTTATATACATTTTAAAGAATAACCCCAGCTTTTTTAAGTGATTGGTAGGAGATCCACCTATCAGGTACCATAAGGAAATACCTAATAAAAAAAAAAAATAGTTATTTTTGCAAGATATTTAATTTAAATATAAATAATTTTAATAAATTAAATACCTGTCCATAGCTTCTCTAAATCTATTTTTATATTGGCGTGGTGATACAATTGTAGGTTCTTTGCCACCACCACCCAAAAAGCCAGATTCCTTCACCCAACTTTCTAATTTTTTATCCCACGTAAATGTTCGAATAATATCTAAAAAAAGAGAATATCAATATAGCTCTTTATGAGAGTAAATAGATTATACAAATGAATACATACCAACTATGCCAACAACCAATTCATGTTTCTCTTCATCAAATCCTACCAATAAAGAATAGTCCATAACATTATGTCTAGCCAAGAAAAGTGTATCATTAAATAATGATTCATGCAAGAGCTTTTTGGAATGTTCCCGTAAATAAAGAGGTTTTTCATTCATGATTACTATAAGAGTATAAAAGAATAGAGAACGTTATATAATTTACGTTAAAAATAACAAAAAATTTAAAATAACAAGAAAATTTTACATTCAAGTAAATTCTCATCCAATAAGACTTCGTTTTGTCTTCCGGTGCTTTGAACATGCCGATTACGCATAGAACCTTTCAAATCAAAGATCTAATACAAAAGTTAAATTTTGAACCGAAATTTCGGAATAACACATAGATACATAAATAAATTAATTTACCTTTGATACTTTGCGTTCATAGAAGAGATTCTCCATTACAATAACATCTATTTTCATATTTTTTCCTGAATGATCATTTCTGAATCCGATACGGTAAAAACCAAATATCTTTGCCAATACCGTTGGTAACTATAATGATATTATTAATATTTATATCATAATTTGTGTAAAAGAAAGATGACAAATAAATAATAAAATAATTTTAAACTCACATGAACTAAAGCGTCTGACATATACTCGAAATATTTTGGAGCGAATTTCGAGAACGCTTCTACTTCATTGCGAGACATTTGTTTCATAACCAATCGATCATCTTAAGGAATGAAATTAAGACATTAACAAAATAACTAAATATGATTGTCATAATCATTCGTAATAATATGCAACGTACCTCGCGTTTTAAGGAAAGCTGATCCAGATTTACCCCCAGATGAATCCCATTTCACACATCGTGCCAATGATTGTATATAAGTACTTTCACAACCACATTTACGTCTGAGGTTATCGAATTGTTCCGCACAAAAGATCTTACAGAAAAATTGTGTTGATCCACCTGAAAATTCTATATATTACAAACAATATTAACTAAAGAGATATCACAACGAGTTAGAATAATTACGCATATATATCTCTCATGAACTTACGATACTTCATGTGTGAAATAAGACCATCTTCGACATCACCACTTTCTTCAGCATCCAAAATAGTCCAATTGGAGCTTTTAACGGTTCCCCCTTCCGGCATAAATGCAACTTCACTATTATGGTTTGATTGTTGCATAGTTTTTAATTTTTCAAGGTACTCTTGAGAGCTTTATATTTTTAGAAAAGAGAAAAAAAATAATATTAGAAACTTATTAAATTTATTATAAATTTTTTTTTTTAAAAAAAAAAAAATTCGCATACCTTAATGCAAAGGCAATTATCGAACTAGGTTCATCTTCTCTCACGATGATCGAAGAATCAGGAAATACATGTTCCGTTGGACTTCTAAAATTACGTAAATAAATATATATTATTAAACCTTTAAGATTCAATAATAAAAATAAAGGAATTAAACGATCATTATTATTACAAGGGATAATCCAAGGGTTTATAGTTCTTCTTATCCGTCCAAAAGTTTGCAATTGTCCTCACTAAAGGCATCACTCCAACAGTTTGATCATTCGAGTCAATCAAAAGTCTTCCACTATTTAAAAAATTATCCGCGGCAGGTGTAGGTTCATTAAAGTCCGGACCCAAAAATGCAGATGCTGAATGATAAATATACGACTCATTTGATGGTTCACGACCCGACATCGGGAAAAATTCTTCATTTCCCAGCGATTCGTCAAATTCGTCCGTACTATTTAAAAAAAACCGCATTTCTTCATTTTCCTTGTTATAATCACCTTCTTCCCCTTCTTCAAACTCATCAGATTCCTCTGCCGTGGCTGCACTAACATTACGGAAAACCTCGATTGTAGGTTTTGTTGAAAAAATTGCAGGTCTGCGTTTTGATTTATGGAGAGCAGAGAATTTACGATTCCTAATAACGCTATTAATACACTCAGTCGGAGCCGTTTTTTGAGATGGTGAAATAAAATTTTTTCTAGCTATACGTGAGATATTTGACTTATCGGCCAGGGAATTTTGATTTCTCCTTAATTGTGTCCTTCTCGTTGGAGGAACTTCGGATTTATCCTTTTCTTTTTCTAATACAGATGGCATTAAATTTATACGGGATGTTGTTGATGGATTACATTTTAATGAACTTGGTTGAGTAAGTGAACGGTAATTATTTAGAGTTTCGGTTTCAGCAACATTTTCAAACGAAGGAAATCCATATGAAGAAGGTAAGTGATCTGATTTATGTTTAATAGTTGATGGTAATAAACGCGGTATTTCCGCCGGTTCTGCTGTAAGGTCAGAATTAGAATCTTGTTTATCTATTATAGTCGTAAAAATAGCTTCAGAAGTTGTTCTGGTTGGTCTTTGTCCTGCTTTTGATTCTTTCATCCATTTCATTGATAACCTCCTTGAAACCTTAGGATCCACAAAAGGGAACAATGACATTTGTGAATTAACATTTTCAATGTCTTTTTCTAAGCTTTCGATTTCGCCATCATGATAAAATTCAATGTCTTTTAATTCATTAAGTATAGCGTCAGCGGTTGGAGAACTGCTTAATTTAGGAAATATAGTTGGACCAAAAACTTCATCTTCTATCCTCACAGTATTTGAACCATCATCAAGGTCCATATTAATTAGAGGTAAATCATTCAAAAGTGATCCAGAATAACCTCTTCCCAAAGTTATTACATCATGCTTGTCTACAAAGAGTCGTTTTAGTTGTCTTGCGGTTAAACGAGGGAAGTATTGTCTAGCAATATCATTAAAATCCTTATCCCAAACCAAAACTTTCTCTTGCAACACATACATTACATTATTTAATTCTAAAGTATCTTCGGGTGTGCTATTCACATATGTTTGTTGAAGTTTCTGAAGCATATATTTCTTTTCCGTAACTACTCTACGAGACATCTCAAGTAACTCTTGCTTGCATCCTTCAACTTTATCTGATTGAACAATATCATAATTAAAACTTTTAATACGATCTGAAACAGAATCCCAATAATTTGTGATTTTATGGCGAATTGTATCAAGATCCTGATTCTTCAATTTTATATGAATTTCAGGCTTAGTATAAAGCTGCATAGGAGGAACATGTACTTCTAAAAGTTCTATTGGCTCATATTCAAACTTAACTGCTAAATTATTAAGTCCGAAATACCAAATATGATCTTGAAAAATGGAATGTGGACAATTTTCCATTATACTCTTCGATTCGGTTTGATAAAAGGATAATTCCAAATATTTACCAAAAGAATATTTCCAAGTATCTTCGGACATCTGATTAACTTGCGTTGCTTTCTCACATTTTTTGCAATAACTCCACATGAAAATTTTATTTTCCATGTTAGGAACTGGGCAAGGATACTCCTCAATTACGATAGTAATACGTGCATTACCATGACAAAAACTATGATAATGCATTATCAATGGCCTATCGCATGTACGGCAGAGATAAGTTGACCTTGAACACATTTCCTCAAGATATTGCCCTAATGTTCGATCAGATTCTCTGTAGTATTCCATTACCAATGTTTCTGGACCAATACACGGTGTTCCAGTCACCGTGCAAAATTTTGAGGATAATACGGTAATGTTCTGATGAGCATATGGACTAACAAGTTTATTATATAAATAATTCTCCCACGCACGCATCTGAGCCATATGTTCATTAAAGGCTTCGGCAAGTTCTCCTTCAGCACAAACTTGTTCAGGAGTACGCAAGATGCCTGACAGACCACCAACTGTAGATGATGACGAAAGTGGTTTCTCTCCGTCTTTAAATATCCCAGAAGGCCATCCTGTTCGCTTTTGTGATAATTCTGTAAGATTACGTTCTGCTTCTTTCATTCTTATAAGTAGATATGGAGCTGGAAACTTAATAAAAGGTGATACAGACAATATGGTGTCCTCATAAGGCCGCATAATATTATCTGTTGTCTGTGTATTTCCAGTCATAATTTCGTGATCCGTTTCGCAATCCATTACTTTACCTTCTGGTATTACAGAAGGAGTTTTTGCGAACTGATTTGTTAAAAGAGCTGTCTCCAACTTTAGATTGTATACAACGAATACCATTAGATCTGTTATACGCTTTATTTTCTCAAGAGTACATATATCACCACCCCTTAAAGCGATAGTACATCCAAGTTCACGTGGACAATTTTCGAAAACCAGATACGTTCTTCTTCTACTCGGAATAAGTTGATGGACAAAAGTTTTCACAGAGAAAGTACCACATTTTCCTAACCTAGGTTCTAATGCTAACTTATCAATCGAAGGAATAATATCAGCTCTTGTACAGCGTGCAACTGCTTCAATGACTGAGGGTTTAACATTAAGAGCAACAGTTACATTTTTTTCTAATAAAAATTGTAATGCCAATCTTGCAACCGTTTTTTCAACTAAAACTAAATGTGGTCGTAATGCAACAATACGAGCTACCAAGTTTTTCAAATGTTCTTCTTCTTGAGCCATTACTGGCTGTAATGACATCAATTGATTTTCAACTCTATGATATTCTAATGCAAATGTTAATATAAGTACGCGAGGGTTATGGAGTGTTCGTGGCATCTTTTTGTGCGCTAGATTTTTTGTACATACAACACCATGTACATATTCTGAATCTTGAGGAATCCCTCCGGGTATTTTTTTAATCTTTACATAATGACGAATATCGATTTCATCGCCATTACGAACATTTGGGTTTAAGTTATCGGAAACTTTCATCATTAATTTCATTATGACATCTTCCCAACCATCTGATAAATTAATTTTAGATTCCAAGAGAAATTGACGTAATAATCTTCTCATATGATCGAGTGAAGCCGGATTAATTACCGGTTTTATAGCAGATGATGACCTAACATGACGCGAATTCAATGGTGATGAAGGCCTTTCTATTGGAGAAGAAATCATTGAAATATCCATCGGCTGCATAATATTTGTGTTTATTTGTCTAAGAAATCCACCACCTCTTCGGCTGAGTCGAGATGGTCTACCATTTGTAAAGCTTCTTCGTCTTGATGATGAACTCTTATCTCTTATCTGAAAATGATTGCGAATATCTTCTGTCCTTTGTCCTTTTTGAAACGCTTTAAGCACGTGAGAAGTTTTTACGTTGTACTCCCATATTTCATCATCACTACCAGCATATTCTGATACTGCTGGCGTCGGAGTAGCTGATTCGCCATTTGCATGTGCATTTGCAGATAGAAATGTCAAGACATTTGATGAACTAGTCAAAAGGTCATAATGTCCATCATCTTCTTCATTGCTCATATAAGCAGCGATATCTGGATCCAGAATAGCCTCAGGATTTACCGCCGGCAAAACTTTGTCTTCCTCGGTAATTCCCCGTCTAAAAGGAGCAGGAGATGATGATAATGCTGCGCAAACGTCTTCTGTTATAGTATTTGACCTTGACCTTGTCATGAATAACGAAGAACTAGCAACGGAAAACATCTTTTTTATACTTATACCATCATTTATATTTATTGAAAGTGTATCTGGGGAGGGAGCACGAGGTGGAGGTGCGTAAGAATTTTGGCCAGAAAGAGTGTATTGAATTTCTGGAGTGGCTAAATTTGTACCATGACTATCTGGTAAAACGGATCTTTGAGAAACAGGATTATTAAATTCACTTTTCTCCGTCATCCCTTGTTCATTATCTACACTAAAATCTTCACCATATTCTTTCATTAATTTTAGACAGAAATTGCAAACACGCATTAAACCCTCATGATTAAAATTTCTACCAGAAATCGAATTTGATGCACATCTTGAACAAAAAATTTGTCCTAAGTTTATATGATTTTTATTTAAAAAGTTAGCAAATTTAATTTAATTAAGCATAAGAAAGTTGATATATATATAATTAAAAATTTTAATAATTACCACAAATACGGCAATGATGCTTTCTTCGAACCAATGTAAATGTCGATTTACAATCATAACATTCTCTACAAGTATCGTCGGCCATCCAATAATCTTTATTAACTCCTTCACCACGCAACCTTCTAATAACCTTACTAATTGAGTAACTATTTCCTACGGATGAAGTCGTTTGCACCGAACGAATTGATCTCGTATCTGAGACATCTTTTGACTTGAATGCATGAAGTTGAAACGAATGTCCAGGATCATATACTTGATTTTGTTGAGAACTGATACCATTCCCGATAATTATATTATTATTTCCATTACCGTTAATATTTGTGTGCTCTTGACCGCTGGTATCAGGTTCTATTATGACTGTCGGGGTATTACCAAAAGCTGGCTCCAAAGAAACAACTGGAGGAGCAGGTTTAATACCATGTACAAAACCTTTATTTTCTTTATCGGGTAAAAGAATTGGTTCCTTAGGATTTAAAGGTTTAAAATCGGGCGTTTGAGGAGGAGAATTAAGTGAACCATTTTCTATTAAAGTCTCAGAGGAATTGGTAGCATTTGAAGGTGCCTGGATAGAAATTGATGAAGTACTCGAAGTTGTACTTGAAGTACTAAATGAACTCCTTACGCGCTGAAATAACTTTGAAATAACGTTTTCATTATCTTGTTCAAAGGGCCTATCAAACTCAAAACTTGTTAATGTTGCAATGTCAGTGTTAAGTGTATTGTTACTTTGCCGATTAGACATTATTATTATTATTAAATTAAATAATTTAAGATCGAATATTGACCTGCAATCAAAGTAAATATATTTACAAGGAGAGAAAAAAGAATTCGAAATTGCGTAAATTTAAACATAAGGTAAAAGGGAAGTCCATGCAAGATCAGCTGAAATACCTAAGTTGTTTGTCAAAACAAAACGCCCAAATTATAACAGATATACATGACGTTTATCATTTGATTGATTATCTAATTTTTTTCCTTTAAATAGAAAGTGAGGCACGTGTCTGCTATTAATAGATATTGAAGCTAATTTCAAAGAAAAACAGGATTAGATATTGTTTGTTTTGGAAGAGGTAAAGAAACGGAAAACCCGATTAACAAAATGACGACATAAAAAATATTTTTACGTCGCATCCAAGAAATTGATTGATGGATTGCTAATTTTAGGTTTTGGTTTTTGTTTTGTATTCGAGCATGTATATCTGGCAGTCTCTGGTAGAGCTGTTTCAGGAGCTATTCATCAACAGTATTATATTTTAAGTGAAAATTTAAACCTGAGATCAAAAAATTGTAATTTTCTTTTTTTATGCGTTGGAAATATAACTTTCAAAAAACATTTTTGTAAATTTTAAAAGTTAAACGGTTTGGTAGTTTTAAGAAGTTCTCTTCAAACAAGTTGTCTATTATATGCCGATTTTAATATGTGAAAGTATTATAAACAATTTAATATGAAAAATATGTTGTTTTGACTCGAGGTATTTAATTTTAATATGATAATTTTTTGATTTTAAAAACTTTTTTTTATTAATAAAAAAAATAATACTAAACGAAAATTTTTTTCTACAGGTATTTTATATCTTATTAGTATAAAAGAATATTTAAAATTTTTTCAATAATATATAATTTTAAATTAGTAAAATATATTATTTTCTTATTATTTAATAATCTTTCTTATTTTTACATTTTTA